AAATTTTTCAAATTTTCAAATTTTTCTTAAAGCTGTAAAACACTTTGTTCAAATGGATGGGACCTGTAAATAGTTAAGAGCAGCACTCCTCACACTGAAGAACACGTGGTGGTGGTACATCAGAAATCCAGCTTGGTTCTCCTCCCAAAGCCTCCCTGAGAAGAGCCAGTTTCTGAGCCTCTTCCTGGCTTTACCCTTCCATGTGTCATTTGTAAGCAGGGACCAAACCCTAGTTGCCTTAAGAAGCCTATAGTGCCACTTGGCATACATCTAGGCATTGCTGTAACTATACATAAAATGTACTTTACAAAACATTGTTTTCAACAAATGAATTACATTTCCCTGTCTTTCGACTGTTTATTTGCATCGGTCTCTGTTTTGTAAAACTATATTCTTTTCAAAATGTGGAAATAGTGTGAAGCTCCTGGGAAATTCTCAGAAGTATGCAATTTAGATTTTTGCATTTTTCCCTAATTTGTTTGACCTCCTACATGGATTTTTAACTTTTTTTTTTTTTAAACCCGTCTGCCCACTACGTAATTCACATTTACAACATCACACGTAGCCCATGGGGGGAGTAGCAATGTTTTTGCTTCAAAGGTCACCACAACAGGAGGTCAGTGAAAAATCAAACATGACTTTAAAAACATGAGAACAGAAAGACACCCACAAGACTGGGCATGTGGATTGAGTGCTAGATGGGTGGTCAACCCAACCCAGACAAGCCAGCAGTGGTCAAACCACATAACAGACCAGGAAACTCCAAAGTTGCTAACTAAGAAGCCAGTTTTATGTTATTTAATTTTTTTTTCAAGAATTCTATTTCCAGTCACTACTATCGAGGGGTAGAAAATGTGCTGATTTCTTGTGTTTTTTCATACTGGCCTTTTATATAGGGTGATTTTATGAAGATATAAAGTGCATTTACATTTTAGAGTTTTATGAACAGAAAGCAATACTTAACTCAGCATTTTCCTAGTATACCACTTGAAATCATCATAATTATTCCTTAATTTTTGCATAATACATGTTTACAAATTAAAATAAAACATTTAATGAATTAGTGGTTAATATAGTTTCGTTAGTATAATTCTTAATAGTCTGAGTAAAATCTTAGACATATAAAATCTTATCACTTTAAAATTGCCTGTTAAATAAAGGTTTAATGAAGTATTCCCTTTTTTGGGGCAGAATCACAAGTTTTGGAGTTAATCATATTTAAAACATTTCAAAGTTTTCAAAATTAATTTGAAAATTGGAATTTATAAGGTAGCTGAATTGCTGAACTTTTTGTATCCATTCACACAAGAACACGTTGGGTAGTGACAATTTGGCTTTTGATCATTAAATAAAAACTCCAACATGCTTGTTTAGTTACTAGCGCCCATTATTTAGACTATTTGGCACTCACATCCCTTAATTTATTTTGGTCATTCACCTTTAAGATGGAATTAGAGATAATACTTCCACATCCAAAAATTAGAGTAGGAGATAAAAAAAATATCCATTACTTTGTTTTTGTTTTTGTGTTTTTTTAAATTATAATTGTATATCTCTAGCTTAGATCTTTTTCCCTCATTTTCAGACACGTATATAGTAACTCCTTGACATATGTGATGGAATTATTATTGGAGAAGCATGAGTAATCCAAAAATGCATCAAAAATAATTTTCCCATAAGAAATCAAGGCAAAGGACTTTATGACATAATTTTCAAAGCTGTGTAGCTGCCTGTTAATTTTCTGCATGTGGGCAAACGGAACCAAAACACCAGGGATTACAGTCCTTCACCTCTGGGCTCCCCCAGAAGAGAAGGTTAGCTCCCACCCTTCCTGCCATTACTTTATTGTGCCCTGTGGAGTGCCGGCCAGTAGACATAGCCCTAGGGAAAGATTCCCATGACTTTTTTTCCATTCTCCCACCAGACTTCCCAGGAAGCAAGACAACTCAGACACAGTTTTTCTGCTGTGATTCAAGGTTAAATCAAAAATGATTGAAATTCCAAAAGCCAATTTTGCAGTGTGGATAATCCAAGCATAGTACAAACTTCATCAGCCGGGTACATTACTGCAAAACTACAGAACTGAAAGTGTGGAGTCAGCAGCAGGCTTAGGTGCACTGGTAAGAGCATGCAGGTTGGGCTGAAACCAGGGCTGGCTGGATGGGTAAACTATATAACTATAGATACCAGGAAGTGTGCTCTAGTCAACTATCTCAGCTCATCCCCAAACTGACCTCAACATCTTCCCTCCCAAACAGGCTCATTTCTCAGGATTCTCTACCTCACCTGAATTACTACAATAACCCTCTAACTGGTTCTTCTGTCTCCTTTATGCTTCAGCCAGATGATTTTTCTAAAATACCAATTGGATCTAGCCACTCTTCTGGTAAATCTCTGAAGTGACTCTTCATCACCTTCAGGGTAAAATCTAAACATGGCATAAGAGGCCATTGACCATCAGGGCCTGCCTGCTAGTCTAGCTTCATCTCTCTCTGCACTCTCATGCACACCCCAGGCTCCAGCTACATCTAAAGCCTGAGGTTTTCTAAAAGCACCACCAGGCTCATGCTTTCATGTGCTAGCATCTGTGGTTCCTGCTGCTTGGAATTCCCTTCCCCATTATTTGGCCTAACTCTCACTCATGCTTCAAAACTTACTTAAGTATGACCTCTTTGGGGATGCCTCCTAGGAGTCTTCCCTGGAGCCCTCTCTGAGTTCCTCCAGCATCTTCTAACACAGCACCTACCTCAGGTATTTGTCATTGTCTGTGAATTCACTGTGGAACTCTCTGAAGGTATGGATGTTCTTGGTATATTAGTATTTATAATGTGTAGTTTAGAGCTTGACTCTCAGCAGAAGCTCACTAAGTATTTGTTGACTGAGTGAATGGTGAGAAACTATAGAGTCAGGCTTCAGTCTCTCAGTTAGCTTGCAATAGGTTGTTCAGTAGTTTGTCTCTTGGGATATGTAGAGCCAAGGTCACAATCTATATCAGATAGACTAGATTTCTTGTCGTGTATGGGAGCTGTAAAAACCAAGAAGAGTGTATATAAACCAACTTAAGTTGATCTCCGGGATAAGCAGATCCTAAGAATGTTCAGCTGCTAATGGTAGTGGTAGTGGTGGAGATGGGGAACCGTAAATCACAATGATGGATGTTAAGAATGAAGATATGATTGTGGTGCTTTGGAAAATTAATTTAAATATTTTCCATTCAGTTATATTCAGGAATAATAAAACTTAGGGGAAAGATTCCAAGTTGTTAGTCTTTGTTTTTTTAAAAAATGATCAAGTGAGAAAAGAAAGATACCAAGTAATTGGGGAGGGTGTTTGGTTAATAATTCTTCCTGACATTTATACATTTATATAAATTGTATGAATTTCTAATACATGAAAAGCAGTCATTGTTATTGTTTATCTAATCTTTTTATTATAGTTTCTCTAAACATGAGTATGCCTTTAGGGAAAGAGAGGGGAGCATGGAAGCCATATGAAAAAACAAACGGAATCTAAAGTAGGAACAGAGTTCAGATGAACATCGTGCCAGACTGCAGGGATTTCCTGTTTGACTTCTCAGTGGTGTTAGCTAATTGTTTCTTCCAATTCCCACATCCTTATAGGACTTGGACCCTCTGAACCTCGCAGGACTCCTCTGTTTCCATACCATGAATCCTGAGCCTGACTCATAGAAGTGAGCCAGCCACCTCTCCTCCAATCTGCCTCATCTGTGTTTTCTTTAGAATCACTTAGAAGAGCCTTTTCACAACTTTCCATTTGAGTCCTGAGAAATGGCCCCTAATCATGGTCAATAAATATCGTCATACAACTGAACCAAATTCAGCATGGTTCAGTTATTTCATTTGTTCATTGACTAGAATTTCCAGTCACCATACCAGATGCTTAATGGTCTAGAGGTAGATATGAGCTTCTGAGTAAATATTTTTCAACCAATAACGTGTGTGCCATTATAGAAGTATGGCTCAGAAATGGAATTGAATGAATGAGGATGTGATTAGTTCAGAAAAGTGGAGTGGGCATGAAGGACCTCACAGGAGAGGTGAATATCTTAGCAGGGTTTCGAAGAATGAACTGAAGTTTTGCAGGCAGATGAGATAGGGAAGGAATTCCTGGGAGAAAGGACAGCATGGACAAAGGCTCAGAGGTATGAAACAATATGGTATAGTTTGAGGCACTGGAGTAGAAGGGTAACAAGTGGGAAGTATTTAGAAGGGATGATAGAGAAGTAGTTAGGGAGCAGATCATAAACACTATCCCGGATTAAGGTACTTGAATTTAACATTGAAGTTTACTAGAAGCTAGTAGAGCATTCAGTGCAAGTGTGAACCATGGTCATACTAGATTTATTTCAGAAGTCAGTGTAGATGGACGGAGGGGTGTGAGTCTACAGGCAAGAAGCACGGTTAGGTGGCACTGTAATAGTCCAGATGTGATCTGATGAAGGCCTTCACTGGGCTAGTGACTGGCATTTTTTGTCTCTGTGTTTGTCTTCCTTCTTGACTGCGAACTTCCCAGTAACAAAGATGTGGTCTTGTTTGTCTTTGCTTCCCCAGTGCCTACTATCATACCTGACGTGAGGTAAGTTAAGATAGCAGAACAAAAAATATTTCTAAAAGTGTTCTATTAATTATTCTGCTGGACCAGGAGAATATCTTATTGTATGACTCTTTAAAATTCTTTAAGAAGATAAGATTTTTTGTGTTAGAATTGCTACAGTGATTTAATTGTGAATTTCAATCATGAAATTAAGAGGAGATTTTTTTGTCTGTAAAAATAAGATTTATTGTTCAGATTTAATATATATATATGAGATATATATAATGAGATAGACAGTTAACTCTGATGTTGGCCTTCAAAATAACAATGATCTAATGTTTCTCTCTGAGCCAAGCATGCACTTGAGGTTTTTTCCCCCCAGTAGTGGCAATAAATGTATACAAATTTAAGCATATTTCTCATTTCATTCTTGTTGTGTAAAATAGCATGAACAACCAGTTTGTTTGAACAACTAGAACATGTTAAATTCAAACCTTCCTATGGATTAGCTCTTTCCCCACCTCTGGTTGAAATCTTAGGTGAGTTTCGTAGCTTTTTCATTCACTTTTGTATAATAAAAGAAGTATTCTAGTCTCGTATAGTCATAGTAAAAATCACATTTCAGTAATTAAAATGAACTCCCAGTTTCGTGTAAAGTTAAAAGCTTCTCTCATCCCCATTTTGGTCCTGCTGCAGATGAGGAACCGTCCTGACATCCCCCTCACTGCCAGCTCTGGAATTTCCCCTTCCTTGTTGGGCCAGGAGGGAGGAGAGGCACAGGGCAGGTGTGCTAGCAATTTATGTTGACTTGTGTGTATACAACTGACCTGTGGGACACACCTCAGAGGTTCTGTCAGCAGAACAATCCAGTCACCTGTCTTCTGCTTGAATGTTTTAACTGCTCCTCAACTTCGGCATTAATTAGGGCCCCACAGCTTCTTTATGCTAAAGTTGCCTCATCTCTAGAAAAATTCCTTTCAAAAGAACTCCTTAGCCAGCTCCCATCTAAAGGGCCCACGTTTGGTCCACAGAAACACGAAACTCTGCCCTGTTTTCGGGAGTACAGCTCTGAGTACATCCGTCCCTCTTTGTTCCCCCACCAAGCAGGCAGCTCCAGCTATACAGTCTTTTGCCTGACATTTCTCAAGGGTGGACTGAACACTTGTCTTCCTAACTTTAAGGAACAAATATCAGCCTCTCTGAGAGGTGCTCTCAAAGCCTCTCTCATAGCTGAGGGAGATGGAAAATTGCTCCGGCCTCCAACAACTTTCTCCAGAGAAATTCTTTTGTCTCTTTCAGTTTCCTCAATTTCAACTCTTTGAGATCCTGGAGTAGATGTTGAGTCACCACATGGTTGTAGTCCACCTCCTTTGAAGTCTTGTATATGGGGTCTAGTGCCTCATTTTGGAAGGTGGGAGAACATGACACCTATTGTTTTGTTCTCAATTTCGGGGGGCCTCCCCCCAAACTTAGGAAGGATCCCTCCCTAATACCTTGTCACACAGGCAAGTATGAGATTTGTGTAAATCATGACCATTAACCAGAATAAATCTAATTCATTTATGGCAATTTAAACACTTAAACTTGGCTCACAATAAACAAACAATATTGAACATCTTCTTAAAAATGTATAACCACAAAGAAATCAATCAATTCAACAAAAATTGCTTACTATCTTCTACATGCTGGTATTATCCCAGGTGCTGGATGTGCAAAAATTAAACACATGGTTCTTTTCCTCATGGAGCTAACCATCTAATGAGAGAGTCATATGCTGAAATATGTCCAAAAGTCATCAGAATACAATTTAGCATCACAATGGAAGGATCTACAAAGACCTAAGGGAGCGCAGAAGACAGAGTATCTGAATTTAAGAAAGGCTTCACAAGGGACTTTTGAGCTGGATCTTGAATGGAGATAGGGCTTCCCTAGGGAGAAAGGAGGAAAGGGCATTTCAGATGCACGCTGGTTGTATAAAGGTGAGAGAGGGAGAGTTTGGATGGTGTGGAATGGGAACAATGGAGAAGAGGTGCAACTGCTACATGGGCTGCTGTGATTGTGGGATATGAGTTTGGGGAATGGAAACACTCTGTTTTATGCCAAAGAGTTTCAACTTCTTCCTACAGGTAATGGGACATTATAATTATTGTTTTGCTTTTCAAGTGCTCATTTAAAAATATTACACACATATTATATATCAATATATATAAAAGTGACCATATTCATGTTGTTTTTTCCTTTTCCCTTTTAAATTGGGTCCTCCCTCTCACTCTTCTTTCTCCTCTCCATCTTCTCCATCTTCCCTAGCCACATCTTTTCCTCTCTAACTCATGTTAACACTTATTTTGTATCCTTTATTTGTTTTCTCCTTGGTTACATAATCATATTCAAGTATACAGTGTGTGAATATATATATATGTGTGTGCGTGCGTGTGTATGTGTATATATTTTCAGTATCCATACACACAGCTTTTTTTGGCCATTGTTTGCTTTACAAAAGAGTACTTTGCGTATTTTTCTGCATCTTGCTTTTCTTATTCAACTATTCTTGGAGAAAATGTCTCAAGTCCATGGGGCTAGCTCGTTGCAGGTTTTTAAATAGGGACTGACATGATCAGAATTTTATATCAGAGATATGATGTTGGAGTGGACAATGAATTTAAAAGGAAGTAGAAACTGGAGGAGGGGGGTAAATTGAGAGATTAATTAGGTAACAAATGATGGAGCCTGAGTGAATGCAGTCATAGTTTTGGCAAGGACATATCTTTAGCACGTACAAGCCTCAAAAAATGAATTACCAAATCAATGAAATGCCAATGGCCACCATTATCTAATTCTAAAATTTTGACATTAGATCCTCTGAGTGTGCTGCTTAGAGAAGCATAGGTTCAACATATTTACCACCAGCTTAGATGGAGTTTTTAGAAAGGCACATTATTCCTCCACGTACATCCATATTTCTCTACTTCCTCCTTTATTTGGCAAATTTTCCTGCAAAATATCCCTGATCTCAGACTTGTTTTGAAACTCAAATGGCTAAATCCAGCAGTGGTTTAGTTTAGAATTCATGCCAACATTGTCTTTGAATAACAGCAGCATTTTCTATCTTCCAGTTACACTGTAAACTGGCCTTAGGTTGCTCAGTATTGGAATGTGACTACACACTACTTTTTACCCATATTGCAATTAATGCAATCATGTAACACATTGGTAATGCCAACTAGTGGCCTTAGCATATTATAGTATAAATTTTCACAAGTTCTTTATATTTGAAAATGTCATGTCAACATCCAAACTGGGTAAATATTTCATTGGAACATCCAACATATAATTACTGGTCCTGTTATACAATTCTGGTTATTCTGCAAATATAAATCCCATTTATCATAACCATGATAAAGATAACAATGACCTCCTCCAACCTTCTGAATACCAGTGTAGTTAGTAAATTATTGCTAATCATAAAGTACCTAGGATTCTAATAATTTGGTTGTTTTAAAAATTCTAAAAATGCACATATTTCAGAAAAACACATAGAATAATAGAATACCCATGTTTATAACTAGCGATTGTTAAAATGTTGTCAAATTTGTTTCCCATTAAGCACCAGTGTCAAGTCTCGTCTTACTCTTCTTGTCCCCACAGGAAATCTCTATTATGAGTTTGGTGTGCATCTTTCTAGTTCATTTTTATCTTATATACATATATGTATAATTTATAGCTTTTTTTGTTTTAAAATGTTTAATATTAGTTGCATCATTACATTTATAATTTTTTACTTTCCTTTTTCACTCAGTATTATTTTTTTGAGAACCACTCATATGTAATCAAATCTATTTTGGTAGCCTCAGCAGTACTGCAGGGACTATGTGTGTTCATGTCACCATGGGCATGTATTCAAAAATTGTCCTCCACCAGTGTTATGGCCTGAATGTTTGTCTCACCTCCCCCACAAAATCATATGTTAAAGGCTTAACCCACAATGGGATAATATTAGGAGGTGGAGTCTTTGGAGGTAATTAGGTTTAGATTAGGCCATGAGGGTGGGGCCCTCCTGATGGGATTAGTGGCTTTATAAGAAGAGGAAGAGTTACAGGAGCTCTTGCTCTTTCCTGGAGAACAAAGAAGAGGTCACATGAGCACACGACAAGATGATGGCTGTCTGTGAGCCTGAACAGGGCCCTCATCAAGAACTGAATCACAGTGTCTCATTTTTTTCCCCAACACTATTGAGATATAATTGACATGTGACGTGTAAGTTTAGGGTGTGTCATGTGTTGATTTGATACACTTATATATTGCAAAATTATTAGCAAAGTGGCATTAGTTAACACCTCCATCACTTCACATATAAATGGTATATCGTTATTGTCTAAATTTGCATTTTCCTGGTTATTGATGAATATATATTTACTTATTTATGTTTATGGACTTATATATATGGATTTAAAATGCCAATAGAAACTTTGGTCTGAATTGATGCTGTAAGATGAAGTGAAAATTGAAATTTACTAGAGAATGGATCCACAAAGTTGGCATACTACCATTTATCCTCATAATATTTAAGTTTCTCAATTTGCTAGATAGTATGTATTATTAAGTCAAACTCTTACAGTCAGGATTTATTACAGCAGTAATTTTTCAGATTTCAGCTTAGGGTAGAGCACCTGTATTTAAAGTGGAGGACTATTTGGTTATGAAATAGCAAAGTTGTAATCAACTTTAAAGCAATTGAGAGAAGGTAAAGGAATAAGAAAAGATTAATTTCTTTTCTTCTTTCACACAATTTGTTGAAATTTATATAAGTTCTTGATCAGCCATACTTTCCAAATTTAGATAACTCTTTGTATGGTTATAAAGGAGAATTAAAACAAGAATGCAAAATACTGGACTCAGCTGGTAACTGAGCACATCTGCGTGAAGTCTTTGCTTTCCTGCTCACCACACGACTGGCTGAAACATGGACTGGAAAAAAATGACCATGTAAAAAATAGTCTACATTCTATGTAGAGTGCCTTGGATGTAAAGAAGTAGGGTATGACTTGAAATGGCATTTAAACTGCCCTTTAAATAATAATTAATTTTTCTTTTAAATGAAGCTTTTGTTTTAAGAGAAAAAAATGTTTGTTCCCATGAAATAAAAGGAGCCTGGAGAGAATATAGGAAGTGCAGGGTGGTTCATGTAAAATAATGGATCCCTATAAGGCATAATGGGACCCATTTTTCATGGAACCTGCACAATAGTTGCCAATTTCCAAAATAGAGTATTTCTCCTATAACAGAAGACTAAATCTTGATGGGGAGACTGGTGATTTTGGAATGATTTTGAATTTTAGACAAGCATCATGAATGAGAAAGGAAGGAAGGAAGGAAGGAAGGAATCAATCAATCAACCAGTCAATCAATCAGTCCTGGGAGTTTGGGCACGGGAATGACCTGGGTTCAAACTCTGGTCCTACCATTAATTTTTTTGAGTAAGTCACTTAAACACTCCAGGTTTTGTTTCCTTCATATAAAAAGTAGAGATAACAAT